CTTTATTATCTATTTGAGACAGATGTTCTGCTCACTTTGAAGATGCATCTACTATGAAACAGGTAATGATTGAAAACAAAATGGTTGCATCATGGCTTTTTTTTTTGAGTTTTTTTTTTCTCTTTGAATAAGAGAGTTTCCTCATCATAGACCAGCTTATTCCTTCCTTTTGAACAGTAACTTGATTAGTTGACTACTTGACTTAAATTAGAGTCTGATCTTGAAGAGAAGTTGTGCTCATCAAAGTTAAGGGGTTTAAGAAACATAATTTTTTGGTTTCTAGTATTGGCTTATGATATCTCTGATGACTGAACATGGAGAGTGGTGTTCTGATAATGTCTCTTCTTGTTCACAGGGAGCACTTGTTGCCAATTATCCATGGGATGGAACTGAGAATAAACAGTGAGTTTCTTACATTATGTTATTCATCTACATCCATTATGCATTATATGAAAAGAGACTACGTCCGTTTCCTGGGATTATTGTTCAATCATTCCAGTCCTTTCTTCAGTCATCCTTTGTCCTATCTTGATTTTATAATCTTGTGTTTTGGTGGAAATTGAACTAACGAACCCCCTATCAAATCCTAGTCGTTGTTTCACCAAGCTCAATCAAGTTAGTTTCATTAATCAATTGTTCTTAACTCATTTGAATTGGTTTTTGACCACTCCATCTATTTGTGGCTTATTGTGATTGTGGTTGTATATGGGTTTTAATATCTTTTTCTGATGTGTTCTCCAAGAGATGTTATTCATGGTGTGAGAGGGGTTAATTTAAGTCTACTCTGGTTCATTCTTTTGGGCTTTGGCTTTTATTAAATTTTGTCTTGAAAAACTGAGCCAAAGAAGATTTCTTCTGCTTTTTTAGGGAATATTGGGCATTTGAATGCCTGGACTCTGATAAGCAAATATATTGAACACTTCTAGACTATCATATGTTCTTTACTAGTTGAATCTCTATGATATTTGAACACTTCTGATGGTGCTTGACATTATCCATGTTTGTTGATGCATGAGCTCGGGATGCACTCCATTGGTTGCTTAATTATCTCTTCAAGGAAATGCTTTTTTCACACTTAAAATTGTTCTTTATTGTGGATTAATTTCAGGAAAAATTACTATGCATGTCCTGATGATGAAACATTCAGATTCATGGCTAGTTTATACAGCCGCTCTCACTATAACATGTCTCTGAGCAAGGAATTTCGAGGAGGAATTACCAATGGAGCATTTTGGTATGGAAGCAAATCCTATGAACTTCATAATCAGTAAACTGTTTTAATTTAAAAAGCTTTCTAGGCTTTCCTCAGCTGCACCTTTTTTGTAGTCAATTAAGAAGTGACCAAGTCTTTTGAATTATTGGTTCTCTTTGATAATCTCTTCAATATGCTCTTCTTCTCTAGGTACCCAGTATATGGCGGCATGCAAGATTGGAACTACATACATGGTAGCTGTTTTGAATTGACCTTGGAGATCAGTGACAACAAATGGCCTGCTGCTAATGAGGTCAGACCTCGGTTTTAGTCATCTTTGCCTGAATTGTCTGCGTCTGCCTTATTTCCCAGTTGTAGTCCATGTCCTAGCTGGTCAGCCTAAGCTTCAAAACCACATTTGACGAACATAGTACCTGAAAATTTTTGCTGGCCCAACAATTTCACGAATATCTTTATTTTTCTTTTGTTGATGCTGGGGTGGTGGTGGACAGGGGGCAAAGCAAATGCAAGAGGAGGTGAGTATATGTTGGGAGGTTCATATACCTAGTTGTCTTATTTTTTAAACTAGTTTAATTGAGTTCAAACTGATATGAACCGAACAAATTAGTGTCATGTGACATCAGTTGTGTATTTTGTTAACCCAATTTGGACCTGAAACTTTTGTATTTTTTGATAGAGTACATGTCAGCCATTGCATAGATATTTATATTTTATAATTATGTGCAGAAATTAACAAATCGCAGAACTTACATTGTCATTGTGGTTTGTTTGTTAAGTTGCTGGGTGACCAGGTTCATTCCCTTGGGACGGGGAATTTCCTACCTGCCGGGTACCGGTTTAAGCATTATTTGTCTTCTACATGTACATCCTATTAAATTAGGTAGTCTTTTAAGCATGACTTGATCCCCTTGGCTCTTTCAGTGATACTTTATTTACTCACAAAAAAATAAAATAATTGTCAACAAAAATATAATAAATTGTGAAGAGCGATAATGATGGACACTGTTTCATGTTGGCCCTCTTGGCTATATGCACGTGGTTTGAGTTTGGAAGGCATAGGTTACTTTCTCCAATTTTCTTTCTTATTTGACAGTTATCTAGTCAATTGTGTTGTCTTGTTCTTTAAAGGCTATACTGCATTCTTTTTCTCCGGCTTTAACATGGGTTGTAAATGTGCAGCTTCCTACTTTATGGGAGTTCAACAAAATGAGTATGCTAAATCTTGTTGCAAGTCTGGTGAAGGTAACCTGAATAATGCCATCATTGTGTCTGCCATGTGTATCAATAATCTCTCTTAATATTCATTTTCTTTGTAGTAAATTGTCTTTCAAGAGACTGTCATAACAGTCTCATATATCTCAGGAGAGGAAAAGCTTAGATGCTTCATCTATTCTGTGTCCATGCATACGACTTTTCTTTATTTTTTCATTTCTGTCAAGTAAGACCTGTACTGGTGATATATTTTTGCCCCTATTTTGTGTAAGCGCTCACGGTTTTATGTGAAGCTGGTCAATAACTTTGGAAGAATAATTTTTTTTTATTGACAAATTCAATTATTTCTTATGCCTACGTGGGCTTTGGCAAGACTCGCTTCTATTCCACTACAGTCAAACCACAAGTATGCCTTTGTAGTATGTATAGCCTGTGGATTCGGAGGTTAAGCATATAATATTTGTTTCTTTTATACCTCTGCTTGGTTTCTGCGATAGTGGGAGCAAAGAAAGAAAAAATGGAAGTTAATTTATAGGAAACCTTTCTAATGAATTGTCCCTTTCTCAACAAGAATGCATCAACAAAACTACCCTTCCATATAGATTGTTGTGGCAGGAACTTTGTCAATAGATTCCTAGCTAATTCCTCTTCCTATTGATCTTGATTAGCTTGAGCTTAGTTTTGTTAAGAGTTCTCTTTCTGGACCGGACCCATTTTTAGACCGTCTCTTGAACCACCTGTGCATTTCTAACTATGTAGTGGTCTTGGTCAATGTTCTCTATCACATTTAATGTATTTTTCGGTAGGTATTATTTAATATCAAGTGCGTATTACTTTAAATGGTCGACATGGATTAAATTGTTATCCTAAATAGAAGATGGTCCTAGGTTAAGTTACTTATAGTCTTCAGCATCTTTCCATGAACATGTTTTTTTTTTTTTTTTCCAAATCTGAACAGCCACATATGGGAAGCAATTGTTTATTAGAAAGCTAAGTTCTTAGTAAAGCAGAGAATTTGAATCTGTGGACATTTTGTGGCAACTGGATGCTCTTCATGATTTTGAATGCCCATTACTTCTAAGTATTAAATAGCAACAAACGCAAGTTTAAGTCGTGGTTCCCTTTTCCCGACATTTACAAGCGGCTATTGTATCTTCTCAGTGTTTCTGTAAAGTTGGATGTAGAGATTGTGAAATTATTCATTTATATGACTTCCCGATTACATAGACAGGAATACATGGAAGGATATTTTCATCAGATTGTGGAGGGCCTTTGCCTGCCTCTATTGCAATCAAGGGAATAAATTACTCCGTAAGTAAACTCTTGTTCATAGGATTCTATGTTTGTAAATGCACAGTGATATCTGATAAATAATTCCTGGTGGAAAGACATCTGTCGCTAACAAAATTTACTGACTTCTAGGTGCTGATAGCTGTAAATTTAGCAACGACTTGATTTCTCTGTTATATTTTCAAACTGTGTCCACTGATAGCCTGTGTTTGATTCTTCATTGACAGATTAAAGCTAGCCAAACATTTGCTGATTATCATCGCTTGCTAGCTCCCGGAGAGAGATACGAAGGTAAGTAGCATGACAACCAGTCCCAATCTCCATATTTTCTCCATGGTGGGGTGGCATATTTGTTGGAAATCCCCTAATATTTTTTTTATCTCACTGTCTGTTGATAACTTGATGATATGCAGATTTTGCTATTTCTAAATGGGTAATGGTAACTCTGATTTTAGTCTGTTTGTCAAGAAGTATTTCTGCTGTGTCTGTTCTAGTAAGCTTACAGTGTACAACATAATTCTGTAACTTACTTTTGTTTGCTTTTGTTGAATCCTCGATTTTATATTTTAAAACAATTAGATGGAAGTGATTTGACCATATTCTGGGTAAATGGTCAAAAGCCAAATTCTCAGAGCATGGCAAAATAACTTGTATACCCTTACACATTTCTATATCGTTTTAATCTTTAAAATAAACTAGTCTCTTGGTACGCAAAAACACTGAAATATTAAACAAGATGACAGGTATCATTATCTTTTAATACTATAATGGTAGCATGGTTAGCTGTTGCACTTCAGTTATAAACTTTAATTTTTTCAGAAAATTAGTCCGAAACTTTTAAGGGGCTGTGAAACAATGGAATGTGTGATATCTCATTCTTGATATCTCTGTCTCTCTTTCTCTAACACACTGTGATGACTATCGTTGTGTAATCCGAAAGAATGTAAAGTTCGAAGAAAGGCGGAGCACTACAAATATTTATATCTAGCAATATAGTTTTGTTCCTTGAAGCTTTCATATTCACATCATGTTAACTTTTTGACCCAAATTTTTTTATCCAATCTAAAATCGACAGATATAGCATCATTTCACCTTATATTCTTATTGGAGAAGAAAACAGTATATCAAAACACTGATGAAAAAAAATTTACAGGACAATCTTACAAATACAAAAGTACTTTGTATGGATTAGATTATTGGCTTTTACAACAGAAAATTAGTTTGAGATACTGGCATTAAATGATGTAAATGAGCATTATATTGTGTTACAGAAGAGTATTATTCTACATTGTGAGCCAGATTTCCTAGTGATAATAGAGGCTGAATGGTATTAGTAGGAAGAAGCTAGGGAGCGCAAAGATACAGATGCTTTCCGTTATCCCTCTCATTGACAATTATGGAGGAAAACAAGGCATGGGAATCTTGGTAGCCAATACTTCATAGTGAATAACATATTATTGTGAAGACCATGTACGGTTAACGATGCCCCTTAATATCTAGAACAATATAAGAGGATAACAAGATGATTGGAATTTAGACAGTGAAAATAAAGCAACGCATAGCAGCATTTCATGTAGCTAGAGATAAATATAGATTGAATGTGAGGGTATGCTTAATCTGTGTGCATAAAAGCATGTCTCGTTCTTTAGTTTTGGAGATGCTCATATGGTTTGTGAACAAACTTCTAAGTTTGGCCTAACATCTTTGCCTTATAGTGATAGCGACTATGCCTGGATACAAGTCAAAGAGGACATCCATTACACTGGGAGATGAAACCATGACGGTGGATTTTGTTCTTGATCCAGAAAACGCTCTCAAGGGTAGCCTTTTACGACATGGCTGTGATTGTGGCTCTGATAACAAGAGCAGGCGCACATTCATCGAGTTTTTGCCGGGGCCCTACTTGGAGGTTTCTGCAATTTTGATTCTAATTTTGGCATTCCTTTGCTTTGTATTGAAGAGGAGAGCTATATATAACCATTTGAAACAGAGACAGTTCGTAGGACCGAAGCGGTCCGTCGTGGTCTGATGTTCTTTACGTGCACCATTTACAAGCGCTAACTGTATTGTATATTTGTAGATGATTTCCTCTCCTTTTTGGTATCGGATTTCAGTTTAGAGTGATTACATTTACAAGCTTAGAGTGATTACATTTTCCAATCTTTTGGATTCCCATAAATTGTATCCCTCAGTATAGGAAAAAAAATGTTTGATGTTACGGTACGACATTACATTCACGTGGTGTTACTATCCAATTAAAATGTAACAGGTAAGCAAGTGAATTTTACGTAATGTAGTAACTGCTCTTTACAGGAAATATAATATCTCCTCATATATAGAAGTGAGATTCACCTTGTCTATTAGTTTGTTTTTTATTGAATGGTGACACCAGGGGACAATATCATTGTTATATTAAATGTTTCCTCTGGAGGCTTAATCAATGTGTATGCCAAACCACTTTCCCCCAAAAAAAAAAAATGTGTATGCCAAACTAAGGATGATATATTGGCCAAAATCGGAACTATCATTTGAACCGTGAAAGAAATAATCGCACAATTTAAAATCACGAAAGAAAAAACATGAACTAAACTTTTGTGAATGACAATTGGTAATTCGTTAAAGTGATATATCGTAGGTTTTGAGTTATTCTCGAATTGTTAAAATGGAGATAAAAGTTATTTATCATCATTTCTCGAATCCCATTATAGGTGGTACTCATACGACTATGCCTGAAATATAACCATGCATCGAGTGTATTGGTTGCCAATGTACTTGCACATGGCAACATAAACACATGAAGCCATACACAAGATGATGAGAAGGATTTAGATTCTTTTGAGTACTAGATTTCCTCAATTCTAAAGCACACACCATGAGTCTGAGTGGGTCTAGCTTGAACATACAGTGGGACAAACAGAAAGAATACATTAATAGAAGGTATAGACATTGCACAACAAGCAAACATTGTTCCAATGAGGACCTTGTTGCCGCTTTGACTATTTTTTTTGGGGGGAATGAGGTTGGAACCTGCAATCCTTTGTCGACGAGAGTAAGCCCTTACCATTGAGCCACTCTCTCACCTCACTTTGATCACTTTGATCAAGTAATCAGGGGTTCTTTCCCGACACTGGTGAAGCACATTATGTTACAGGCAAACTGTAATTCAATCCTCAACTTTATTGAATCTGATGCAACAAAACAAAATCTAATATAGTAATGTGTCTGGATATTTAGATACAGAACCTAGTACCTACATCTCAATGCGTTCTTGAATATGACTTTGGTTCTTGAAAGGTCAACGGACATGACCATTTTGGATGTTGATGACACACACATTAGCTAAACAATTATTGTATGATCAGCTCGTAATCAACCAATGATTGATTGTAATCTTCCCATATTTTCAGCACGATATTCCTCCGAGACTAACTTCTTGATCATGTTCAGCAAAAAATTGAAGTCATCATCCCTCTTGAGGAGGCTGAGACGTACATAGCGACTCCCAGTGTTGAACATGGTACCCTCACGACCAATGATATTTGCTGATCGCAGAACAACAGTACAATCTCCGTCTTCTTCCCTCTCACATTTCAACCAGGCATAAGCTGCCATGAGTGTAAATATTGTCAGTTTGTTACTATTGGAAATCTGGTATATCAGAGCTCTGCTTGCTTGATGTCAACCAACTTTCTCAGAACAAAAAGACACTAACATTTTATATTTTATACATTGGACTTTAAATCTCCATGTGGCTTGTGAAAAATAAAAAAGAAAGAAAGATTTATAAAGTGAGAGTAAATGTGTCAATCATGGAAATTAATGGTATTGTGACGCGGACTCAAAACAATATAGAGGACAAATAATTTGAAGTCGATATAGCTGTAAATTATTTTGAGGCTGATATAACTATATACTTGTTGATGACGAAATGATAGTATAGATTTCTTGCTGCTGATCGATTTTCTGATGCTATCTCCCGTTGTAGTTGTGAATTGATTGGGCAAATAGTGAATTTGCAAAGTTTGTAAGAGAACAAAGTACGAATTTTTGATTGAACTTATGAAGATCCAAGTGAACAGATACACGAAAGTGTTTCAACGTCACAGTTAAAATCAAATTGAAATTTAAATACATAGGAAATTACCTGGAGAGGGTCCTCTGACTTTCTGATAAAAAGTGCAGTACTGTGGTGCAATTACTTGTAGGGAAAAACGTTTTGACGTCGATAAGGTCTTGCTCAATTTTTCCCAGCGGTCTCTCATTCTATGGAATGCAAAATCAAATATTTGCCTTGCATCTCCTTCCAGGACTACTTTCAGAAGCTGTAACGCTCTTAGCTGTGTATCCTTAGAGGTTACCAATTCGGACATGGATATATATTCCAGCATTCTTTGGTACACAGCCTCATCCTTTACCAATGCCCACCTAGACGAGAAATAGCAGTGTGATCAACTCAAATTTTCTTCTAGTAGTAGTGGAAGTAGTTACACACTAAATAGTAAGTGCCGCACAGGCAAAACTTGAAATTTTCTTTCTAGTAGTAGTGGAAGTAGTTACACACTACAAAGTAAGTGCAGCAGCATTGGCATTGATCAACTGATACCATCTGGTTGAATAATTATTCAGCAGAAAAACCTCAAAGATGTAATTAAGTTTGCCTCAATGAAGTGTGTGTATCTTACTGCGCACATTCTCAAACATACACATGTTTATATGAATGCGTGTTCTATAATCATTTGGAAATCTTGGAAACTTTTGTCACGATCTATTTCAACCATCTTGATGTTTTAGTTTTCACATTAATAAATAAGATTTTGACGATCACGGTAAGTTGCCTATGGTTGAGATTAAGAAAAACAGATGATTATTAGTTGAGAGTGGAAATTATGAGATACATTTTATACAACGAATGGAGATTATTGTGTCCTTGAATTCTCTTTCCTCGAGAGCATCAAGCAAAAAAAAAACACATTTTGCAGAATTCTGCTCTTAGTTTCAAAGAGTAATTATCATGTGCGAAAAAAGAGAAGAATTTGAAGTTACCCAAATCTAGTTCCAGCATGGCCAGTGAGCTTAGAAATTGTAAAAATCATGAGATCTTCATCTGCTGGAGCTGGAATTGCAGAATAATGTGGCCAATAATAGGCGTGATCATGAATGGTTCTCACAGATGGACCATTAAGAACAGCCTTCCTCAATTGACAATCTGGATTGTTTGGTGAAGTTACAAACTCAATGATTCTTGAGGTGGTATCCGAAGTATTGTTCAACAAGGATGCATCCCCTTCAAACTCAAAATCAACTGCTCGGAAATAGTCTACTTGTTGTTTATAAAGCTGTGAAAGTTTGAGAAAATTCAACTTCAAAACTCTATAGCAGTATGTCATAAACTGTTGGAACACCAAAACTGTGTGGTAGACAAAACAAACCGGGTAATAAGGTGTTGAAGCAACAACTTTTGCAGGTGAAGATGAGTTCCCTGTGGAAAGGGCATAAACTGCTGCACCAAGGAGATGGGTTGAGCCAGCTCCAACAACAATGTATCTTCCATCTGTAACTGCATTTCCGGCAATGGCATGTACTTTGCGGATGTGCTTCTCCAGTTCTTGTGAAATGACAGAACCGTCACTAAATCGGTAGCTCATTCGATGCCAACCAGCCACTAAGACTGCACTACTAGCTGCATGTTTCATCCAGAAAGGCTCCAAGTACAATGGATCCCCACTGCAATCAAGATTACCCTCATAATAATTAGTTCTGAAAAAACATTACCCTGGTAGTGAGACCAAGCTGCGAGTCACTACAGGCTTCTGGGGCATGAGGCAATCCCTCATCCCCAGGCGATTGGGCTTTTGTTTGTAAGAGACATGAATTGCATGGTGCAACTAAACACAAAAATAAAGAAGAAACTGGAGGTGAGGCTTATTGAGAGCTTGGTGTATGCTTGTAGTAGTATTGCAGTTGATTTTGTTCGTTGATACTTGGGGTGTCATTGTGATTGATGTGGTTCGCACATGAGGGAGAGGATATCGGCGTCAAGTATGGGTGTCAAATTGCACTTCCAACATATAATGAATATTATGCTAGAAATGGACTAATCTATATAGAATAATTCATTACTTACGCTAACTTTTGTGACTTCTCATAAGGAACCCAAAAGAATTTCTTTGTCCCAGCTTGGAATCTAGTATATTTACTCATTATGTGGCCTAACTCAGAAGCAGATACACTTAAATTTACTTGATAAGAATTCAAACCCATACTGTTTAACTGATAAAATTTCAAAGCTCTCTTTTCCTTGCACCATTTTGCCAGTTTTTTGGTCTATATGTGACTAGTAATAGGCTGGCATGCCTGAGGAATTGACCAGCTCTAAGTTTTTAAGTTTGAACATCATTAAGAAATGGGTGTTCTTCACCAATAGAAATCATGGTTGACTTTTTGAATGTTTGCATACAAAAAATAAAAAATTAAGACTTCTTAGATACTCAAGTGATTTTTTCATCAATAAATGCTATGCTGACCAAATTTTGGAATTAAATGACATGACAGCCGACTTGATCTTCATTATTTGGTGTCATGTTATTTGAGCCCCAATAAAGACTTTAAATTGGCAAATAATATGCTGCCAATATCATTTGGGCTCCAAATTTAATCTCAAAATTTAATCAGCATTTATGTTTTTTCATAGAGGTGGATGTTATGATCTCTTGTTATTGATTAATATGCAATAACGGTGGACGGCCCATAATTGAATATTTGGGAAGTTGAATTTTGAAGACATGTTTTTAGAGAGAGCATTTTGGACAATAGAGAGAAGTTACTCTTAGAAATTGTGAAGATCACTTGATAAATCTATATCAAATTGATAGATTTTCTGAGCATTAAGCGACGGATAAACGATGTTCATCCCAACCACCATAATTATGAATGAAGTTATGGTATGAAAGGCATAGAAGAACTCCTTAATCAGATATGAAAGGCCTAGAAAAAGATGCTAAGTTTAAGTTTTTTCTTTGTATCTCTGTTGTGTGATTAAACTTGCCATATGTTGACCAATTTCTTTTATAATGGACTATATCAATAGCAGCAAAAGATTCACTCTGTATATTTCTGTCAGACTTTAGCCTACCAAATCACCAAACATGAATGTATATGATGAGTTTTGGAGAAAGATTGTGAGAGAAAAAGAACTAGCAAAAACTTCCTAATTCTCTAATCTGAATTAGGAATTAATTTCACTTCCACCAACCACTCTTTCATACTCTGCCTGTCAATACCCAACTGGTGGCCAAGGCTTTTATCTCTCCCAATCACCCAAACAAACACAGAGAGAGAGAGAGAGAGAGAGAGAGATGTAACCTGTCTGCATCTGCAACACAATCAGGTGAGAACTCAGAGCAATCAGAGCCTCCAAAGCATGAATTGCACTCACAAGCAGGTTTTCCATCAACAAGCAACCCATCCAAATAGGCTCTCCCATGGCCTGAGCATGAGGGGGCTGCCACAGCCTCAGCTTCGGCTGAAGCTCTCTGGCTCCAACTTAGATCATTCCACTTCACCCCCACATAAAGATTTGTCAAAAATAAGATATTAAGAATGATAGAAGCCACTAAACATGGACCACAGCAGCAGCTTTTAATCATAGGCTTCATAGCCATGCTCTATATTCTTGAGCTCTCTCTACTTTTTGTTGGGAAAAATTATTTTTCAGGCACATTATAGCTAATAGAAACACAGACCAATCGGATTAGTCTTGGCGTCAATGTTGGGGGTTCCAGTTCCACAAAATGATAAAGTCTACCACTCAGATTGATGTCAATGCATACGACTATACCCTAGTTTACTATTCGTTTTTCTTTTTGGTCTTTGTTTAATTTTCCACCTCAGTTAGCTCGTTTCTCTATTTTTGTGTCACTGATGACCTCAAACAATTTTCTTACATAGTATTTGAATTCGTTGCATTATTTAGTCAACAATTTGTGTTCAAATTTTGGTCACTCTTTAACATTTTTTTTTATTACCGTGAAATGTGTTTAGGTAAACTAATATTTACTTATTTGTAAAGTGCTAGCATGCCCTTTTCTCTAATAATAAGGAAAGCTTTGAAGTTGATTGCTATGCTATACTCTACTAGTTGTAGGACCTAACACTTTACTAATTTAATTAATCAAAAGTAAATGGACTCTATCATGATCTTACGTGTCTGAATTAGGGGTGCAACTTGAGTTGGACAACCCAATTTCAACCTGAGCCCAACCCAAAAAATTAGAGTTCGGGCAAGAATTTTTAATACTTGGGTTAGGCTTGAGTCAAAAAACTCTAACCCGAAATCAATATATGTATATATATATATATAAATATTAGCACTAGTTTTTTATTTTTGTTCCATCGTTCTCTGTCTCTCTCGTTCTCTCAGCCTCTCTCGTTAAAAACTTGGTTGAAGATATTGGTTGTTAATTTAGGTAAATATTATGTAATATATGTATTAGGTTTATAATAACAAGTCTATTCTAGGCTCTACCCGAATTGACCCGTAAAATAACCCGAAATCAGTCTGAAATCATTAAATCGAATTCAACCCAAGCCCGCCCGAATTAAACTCGGGCAGTGCTCGGATTGAGTTCTCCAACCTGAGGTAGGGTTAGAGTTAAGGTTGAATATTATATACCTAGATTGAGTTAGAGTTGATTGTACAACCGTCCAACCCACCTGAATTGCACTCCTAGTCTAAATGTCTAAAAATAGAAGAACGAGCTCTTTTGCTCGCCCCTCTCTCTAAAGGGGGAAACATAAAACAATCCACCTTACTCCTCCATTAACCCAATGGCCTAGTGGGTGATGCTCCATTTCACTTTAATATCTTCCATGTGAAACTGAGATTAAACACAAATGAGTAAGTGGTTAGCACATTCGATTCTCTGTAATATATATACACTTGATGATGAACGTAATCTTTATAAATAAGTGATTTTTTACCAGTTTCACAGGCACCAAAAGTAATTGTATTGCTTTTTTAAAGGCTCCAAAAGGATGTTAATATCAAAGAAACACACATAGGTATTCTCTTCAATTGGAAACTCGATGAGCCTAATATTTGCGTTTTGGCGTCTAGATCTTTTGAGTTCGGGTTGAAATTCAAACTTGAATCTTAATTCAAACTAGTCGTGCGATGAGAAACTTACAACTAGAATTCAACGGCATCGCAAACTTTGAGCCAAACTATATGATTAAATATTCAATACTCAATACTCAATTCTCAATATACAACTGATTTCAATCGAAATATAATAGAGGTAAATGTGCTTCAACGGAAGATAACGATCGAAAATAGAATTGTGAAAGTAGAAAAAAATGTGGTTCGGACATTTACATCTATTTGGAACGAATGGGGGACTTTAGCACCAGTAATTGGAAGGTTGGAAAGAATCTTTATCAACCACAAGATACCATCAAACACAAGACATACATCTTATATATATATATATATATATATATATATATATATAAATATAGATATGTCACATTCAACTTTGCAAGAAAAAAGAATATACTGTGGAAATGGTGATTATATGTGTATAATATATAAAAGAGAATAATTATATTTACAATAAACATGGTGAAAGTGATTTAATGTCAAAGTAGGTATGTTGTTGCTGTCCAAGAGTGCAAGTATGAATAGTTATGTCCAGTGCTGAGAGTAGTTAAGTGGTGGACAATCCTGTCTCATTCATTACAGAGGGACTAGTTCCAAACACGATCCCACAATATAGATGATACGAAAAAAGAGTCATTGCTACATCTTACAGTTCGTTTCAATTTTGCACACATCGACAAATAAAAATTATGGTCTAATGCCACAGATATGTGGTGACCTCAATTCATATTATGGATTATGAAGATGTACTTCACTACTTGTGAGGTTAACCCTCATTCTGATGTTGGAGTTCTGTGTGATCTGATTAGAATTGACGAAATGTCGATTGCCTTCTCCTCATCGTTTCGATGCCATCTTCCCAGAGACTAATGTTTCCATTTTCTGCAACATTAAATCAAAGTCATCTTGAGTCCTGATGAGGCTGAGACGCACGTATCCACTTCCAGCGCCAAATAAGTTACCATCGCGCCCCGTGATACCGGCTGCACTTAGGACTGCATAACAGTCTTTATTTTCTTCCCTCTCGCATTTGAACCAAGCATAAGCTGCGATGAGCATGACGTTAAAATATAAAGTTTTGGCATATAAATGATTTGGCTCTTACATAGAATCCTAATTTCTAGTAGATGACTGCTAAGAAGAATGAACATGAATAACAAGAACACAAACAAAGATGGATGGACATCTACAATCAACCTAATTCCACAAAAATGGAGTATGAGCGATAGCCTATAGACAAGGAACAAAAATTTTATTTCTTGGTCTTTTCCACCAAAACATTTTGGTTTCAGTGAAACGAATCCGTGATTCAAAATTACATTTTTATTGTTTCCAAAACATTTTAGAAATGTTTTCATTTCTACGTTGTTGAAACTACGCACCAAAACAAGATTTTGAGCTTAGTTTGTACATCAAAAGGGGCAACAGAGAAAAAGGGGCAATCAAGACAGAGGACACGTCACACTAAACATTCGAGTCACCACATGCCGATCTTACCTGAGACAGTCCAGGTCAGGGTCCCCAAGTTATAGCCCCAATCAAAACTGGCTCTAAAATTGGGATCTACCTAAGAAGGGCAAAAGAAAAATTCCACCATTACACCTCTACCCTGGGCACGGGTCATTGTTTCTAGAAAGCCACATCATACCTTGGACAGGAGGCCTCTTAATAGTCAACTATTTCCCAAATATTTCTTTACAAATCTGTTATAAAAAGCAATGATTACTGTTTAAACGGGTAACCCAAGGCAGTGCCCTAAACGAACAAAAACCCTATTGTACTCATCTTCTTTCTCATGCAATAATAGGCACTTCAGCAGCAAGAACAATTCTAATACTTATACAACCTTACTTGCTTTAACTTACTGCTCATGCACTTAACTCACAACTCATCAACCCAATCATACTTCTCGGTATTTAACACCATCTATCTCAAAAATATTAAATTTTTGTCTGAACATCATGAAATAGATTCTGGTCAATTGCATTGTTTTCAACATGTTACAATGACAATTCCCCTGTTTTTCTCTCACTCTTTAATCAAATAATCATGATTAGCACGTGATATAATGGTCAGGAGATGAAAGTACTTAGTATTCTCAACAATAAAGAGAGATCTTTAAAATGAGAATCACCTGGAGAAGGTCCTCTGACTTGTTGGAAGTAAGTACAGTATCGAGGAGCAATTTGTTGGATAGAAAATCGTTTTGAAACCGACAAAATCTTACTCAATTTCTCCCAGCGGTCCTTCATTGTCTTGTATCCAAAATCAAATATTTCTTTTCCTTCACCTTCAAGAACCACTTCTAGTAGCTTCAAAGCTCTTAATTGAGTGTCACGAGAAACACCAAAGCTGTTTTCCCTAGTATATTGCAACATTCTCTGATACACAGTCTCATTCTTTATCAATGCCCATCTGGTAGAGAGAGAGAGAGAGACATGCCAATAAGATATTTTCATTATTATGATTTCAAGTACAATTATTAAATCACATTTATTTGATGTTCACAGTACCTTCTACCGACAAATACTCCAATATCCTCTATTTAAGAGTAAGAATACCGTACATTTCAGTACCGTATTGAAAGTTATCACAAAATAAAGATTAGCACACAACTCAATTTGTTATAGTATCATAAAGTAAAATTGGTTGAGAACTTGGGATCGATCGTAACATTTTAAGATCTATCCCAACTCTTTTGTATTTTAATTGTAAATAGACTTCGGTAAGTCTAAACTGACTTTTTTGAATTATAACTTGGACCTCAATCATTTGTAACTAACCCTTATTCAGTTGTAAGACTAGGTATGGTACTGAACCCGTACTAGTCTTAGCCTATAAAGGCCCAATGTTAAGTACTTAACTGTAAAGTAGAGTGATGATGGTTTTACCCAAATCTAGAGCCAGCATGGCCAGTAAGCTTAGAAAGTGTAAATATCATGAGATCTTCATCTGCTGGAGCTGGAATTGCAGTAAAATGAGGCCAATAGTAGGCATGATCATAAATTGTTTTGACAAATGGGCCTTGCAGAACTGCTTTTTTCAACTGAGCATCAGGATTGTTGGGTGAAGTTACAAACTCAATGACATTGGTTTTGACATCCGAAGTGTTCTCCCACATAGATGTATCTCCAATAAATCTATAGTCCAAGGATCGGAAGAAATTGGTCTGCTCTTTATAAGCCTGCAAAAACACGATTTTTGTTAGTATCCTTCAAGAAGAACTAGTCAAAAAAAAAAAAAAAAAATAACACTCAGTTCAATCTCCATTAACGGGGTCTGGGAGGGGGCATATATCGCAAAAAAGGAGAGTTGTTTAGGTATTAAAACGACCGGATAATAAGGAATTGAGGCTACGACCCCTGCAGGGGAGGAGGAGTTATCAAGGGAAAGAGCATAAACTGCAGCATTTAGCAGCAGAATTGAGCCTGAACCAAAAACAATGAATCTTCCGGTTGTGTTGGCGTTCCCGACGATTTCATGTACTTTGCGGATGCGTTTCTCGAGCTGTTGTGACATATAAGAGCCATCACTGAATGAATAGCTCATCCTGTGCCAACCTGCCACAAGAAGTGCACTGCTAGCAGCATGCTGCATCCAGAAAGGCTCCAAAAACAGTGGATCTCCACTGCATTCAACAATAGACCAAAATAACAAAATAAGGATGATTTGAGTCTAGGCAATTGTTAATAATTGGGCACAGATACCAAAGGTTACTTTCTCAATCGGGTGAGGTTACAAGGTGAACTTACGACAAAATAAGGTCATTTGAACCAATCCTCAATTTAAGATTGATCCCAACCGGGGTGGAGACAGGATTATGTTCTAGTGGGGGCAAAAATATAAATGAAAAAGATTAATCAATTGGCATAAAAAATTCTCCCCCACCTTCAATAATAAGGATTGATGAATTTTGCAGAGTGTTTTTTTTTTTAAAGTTCAACTAGAGAAACATATTAACATAATTTATATAAAAATAAATCAATTCAGCATTTAACAAAATATGAACAAACAAGAACAATAATTTTTTTTGTGACAAATTGTAACACAATCATATATTAAAGAAAAACACAATGATATTGTTTAAAATCTCAAAAATCATCTATAACTAATCAATTCTACGATAATTTTTTAAGCAATTTTCTTTTAACTTTGTTCAGAAATTAATATTTTCAGAATTGTTATATTGTTTTAAATCTTAAGAATATCTATAATTAATCAATTTTATGATAAATTTGTACGTAATTTTTAAATCTTGTTGAGAAATTGATATTTTTGGAAGGGCATAAATGTGCATAACTTATCATTTGCATCTGTTCGTATGTTATTATACAATAATATTAAAAAAATAGGAGAAGTTGTATTGAATAAGAGAGATATTGTATTTGACTAATATATATAATGAGTTAAAGAATCACACATCATTTTTACTACTTATTTTAATAAAAAAAACACTTGTTTTAGTAGATTATGAGAACAAGTGAACCACTAACTTATTAAAGACAAAAAAGATTAGGGCCACTATTTAAATTTTCAAAAATTTTAGGAGGGGCAATGAGATAAATTGAACATAACTTTGTTATCATATCAATTTATATACAGTTAACCCTAAAAAGTTGGCGGGGACCTCCAAAAGAACTCTCACTTGTAAATTTTGCCATTATCCCTTTGAGAAAAAAGGGAGGAGGAGGAAATTAGACACAAAACACGGCAATACCTAAAATTAAATGATGGTCAAAACTGCACAAATGCCTTGACACCTTTCAAAACAAGAGGATGCCTCTCCATATTGGCAAACAAATCTAGTAAAACTCTCAACCATGCAACTACCCATAAGGAGTGATATGAGAAATTCCCAATGTTTTATGCAAAAAAAAAAAGTTTTTTTTATCATAAATATTTTGTCATTGGTCTGAGTCAGGTAAGATTTGACCGGTATCTCGTGTCATTAAGCTTCTTGCAAAAAAATAGGAGAGAGAAACTGTAACGCTCCAATTTTTCTCTTCTTTTCAGATATGTTAATTGATATAAAAAGACCCAAATAAAAATAACAAAGAGCTAATTATCCCAATAAAATTTCATTTATCAAAATCATCTTCCAATACAAATAAATATGTCACCATAAAAAAATCTCCCAATACAAATAAACATCAATTATGTTATCTCCTCGTCTTTAATACTCTGATTATCTCATTCCGATCTTTTTTCTAAAATCAACCTGAAAATATTAAATAAAGCGGGAAAGTATATAATATGACGAGAAAAAATATGCTCAAGGACATTGAATAACAAATAATCGACTATCACAAAGTATCTCATTTAACAGATACAAATATCAAATTTGCATATCACACGTCATGCAGAATCTTAAGACAGATCTAACACCTCACCATACATCCCACCTCAACCAGATCTCACGGGTCTCTTGGTTGGCGATGCATAGGCTATTGGCTACCACGATCCCGTTTCAATGTCCATAGAAAATGATCGATGATATCAAGAACACGATCAATGAGATCAAAATATTCAACCATATTCAATCGAAATTCTAAAATAACGATAGCACAAGTTAGAATACAAATCAGAGGATAAATCAAGAAATATTCTTTACAAAGAGATTTGAGGAGAGCATATTGTATATTATCCCGTACCTCAGAATCATTATGTGAATTCGATAACTCTGATTTCTGTTTCATTTTTCTTCCTCCCGATTTGAACTAAAAATACCCACCAAGATTTGTTTTTTCGCTCTCTCTCTTCCACCTTTGCTCTTGGCTTAACACACACAAACGCATATATTTTTCTTCCCTTTATTTTATTCTCATTCACTCATAGTTTCAACAAACCAGTACACACACACACATTTTTCTACAACATATTCAATGTTAACTACATTCATTTACTCCATGAATTTCTTTATTCTTTCTCTCTCTTTCTTTTTCTTTACCTTGTCTTGTCTCTTTTATTTTTTTTTCAAAGTCTTCACGTGGGTGAAAGCCAAAGAATCATAAAAATTGAAATATTTATATTTTACTCCCCTTTGTTTCACTTATTATATATATCAACCACAAAACTTAAATATTCTTTATTCTTTCACATCAAAACTCATAATATTTTATACTTAACTACCTCTAAAAATTTGGAATCTCACAATCTACGCTCTTTAAAAGAATTTCGTCCCTGAAATTCCTTAGTTCACCAAGAATCCAAAAATTTGTTGGCTGCAAAGTGTCACACGAGAAAGAAAAAGAATATAAAGTGCTTATTGTTCAAAAGAAAGGGGTGTCATTGAATTTTTTTTCAATAAAAGTATAATTACACTAACTTTCTCTCAATTCACTAAACCAAAAGTCTGTGCTATACTATTACATCAATTCTACATTCCAAGTGTTCAGAACTTGCACCACCAAATAAAACACAACGAAAACACAGTGAACTCATTTCCCACAAATCCTATATAAGATCTGAAGCCTAAGCTCTGATACCATTTGTAACATTCCGATTTTTCTCTTCTTTTCGGAGACGTTAATTGATATAAAAAGACCCAAATAAAAATAACAGAGCGCTAATTATCCCAATAAAATTTTATTTATCAAAATCATCTTCCAATACAAATAAATCCGTCACCATAAAAAAATCTCTCAATACAAATAAACATCAATTATGTTATCTTCTCGTCTTTAATACTCTGATTATCTCATTCCGATCTTTTCTCTAAAATCAATCTGAAAATATTAAATAAAACAGAGAAGTATATATTATGACGAGGAAAAATATGCTCAAGGACATTAAATAACAAATAATCGACTATCACAAAGTATCTCATTCAACAGATAAAAATATCAAATTTATATATCACACGTCATGCAGAATCTTAACACAGATCTAACACCTCACCAATCATCCCACCTCAACCTGATCCCACGGGTCTCTTGGTTGGCGATGCATCGGCTATTGGCTGTCACGATCCCGTCTCAATATCACAGAACATGATCAATGATATCAAGAACACGATCAATGAGATCAAAATATTCAACAATATTCAATTGAAATTCTAAAATAACGATAGCACAAGTTGGAATACAAATCAGAGGATAAATCAAGAAATACTCTTTACAAAGAGATTTAAGGAGAACAAATTGCATATTACCCTGTACCTCAGAATTATTATGTGAATTCGATAACTCTGATTTCTGTTTCATTTTTCTTTTTTCGGTTTGAACTAAAAACACCCATCAAGATTTGTTTTCTCCTTCCCTCTCTTCCACTTTTGCTCTTGGCTTAACACACACAAACACATATATTTTTCTTCCCTTTATTTTATTCTTTTTTACTCACAGTTTCAACAAACCAGTACACACACACACATTTTTTTACAACGTATTCAATGTTAACTACTTTCATTTACTCCATGAATTTCTTTATTCTTTCTCTCTCTTTCTTTTTCTTTACCTTGTCTTGTCTCTTTTATTTTTTTTTCCAAAGTCTTCACGTGGGTGAAGACAAAGAATCATTTGAAATATTTATATTTTACTCCCCTTTGTTTCACTTATTATATATATCAACCACAAAACTTAAATATTCCTTATTCTTTCACATCAAAACTCATAATATTGTATATTTAACTACCACTAAAAATTTGTGATCTCACAGAAACAGAGAAGTTACCTATTTACATTTGCATCACACCCAGCTACGAATTGTGAGCAATCAGGGCCAGAAAAGCAGGTGTTGCACTCACAAATTGGATTTCCGTCAAGAAGAAGACTATCCAAGTAGACTCTTCCATGGCCTGAGCATGAGACTGAAGCCACAGCTTCAGCTTCTGCTGCTGCTTTCTCACTCCAGCTAAGCTTCCAGTTGGCTCCCACAAATGAAAAAAATAGAAGAAATAGATTCAGAATCACAGAAGTCACCTTAAACCAATCACCCTTTGAGTTCTGAATATTCGCCATTTTTTGGTGCTTTGTGAGCTTTATTGTTAAATATTCCACAACTGAAAAGAATCCAAAAGCATTGGTAGATAAGATGACCTATTATTTGTTAAAAAAAAAAAAAAAGGATGACCTATTAAAATCCCTGCACATGTCAGCTGGATATCACCACATGCGTATAAAAATATACTATTAAGCTGACACATAATAGTGCACAATATTTCTTAATCGATTATAAAATATTTGTATCATAAATAACTATAATCTCACCTACCTATGAAAAAATTTCAATGATACTGTCGTTTCCTAAACATAGATGTCAATATCATAGATATTACTTACCCCTCCAGTTGTATAATCATTATGAATCCACCTGTTTAATCATGAATTCATTTAATTATTATTTATGATGAGATTCTTCAAAGAAAAAATATGAAATTGACACGTATCCTCGATACTGAAGACATTCTCACTATTCAGGTGTAAACACGTGTCTTCGGTACCAGGAACACCTCCACCATTTTGGTGAAGACACGTGTCATCGACATTGAGAATACCGCTATCATTAAGGTGAAGACACGCGTCCTCGGCACTATGAACATCTCTACTAGTTTGGGAAGACACGTGTCCTCGACACCAAAGATACCTTCTAGCACTCTGAGGAGGACATGTGTCCTCGGCACTGACATCCTCTGCCTATTTGCATCTGACACGTGTCCTCGTTTATGACTCTTGGAGCCCTGGGACTCTGACACATGTCCTCGACTTGATTAGATCCCGAGAACTATTTTCGGACACGTCACCTTGGCTCCAAGACAAATTATTGACGGTTACAGCCTGTTGAAATCAGAGTTAGACAATGAATTATTGACTTTCCTTCTCCAAGAAGTCAAAAAGGCAGAAAAGACATAACCCGCAATCAAAGGGAATCGAACACGTGGCACGATGTACAGAATTGGGGGCAAATTGACAACAATATCCCTGGTAGCACATAGCAATCCCAGAAGAATTTTTAAAGATCCTTCAGAAG